CTCTGCCAGTCACCACCCGCCCCAGGCCCACTGCAGGCGTCCCGCACGGCCGAGCAAGGAGGGCATCAGGGCCTTTGTGGGATTCCTGACTCGGCCTTCACGCTTCACCCCCAGCCCTCCACCGGCTTTTGTCTTCAATGCTTCTTTATTTTTGAGAGTGCGCAAGCAGGGGAGGGGCAGGGAGAGGGGAGCCAGAGGATCCGAGGTGGGCTCTGTGCTGACGTCAGCCAGCCCGACGCAGCCTTGAACTCACGAACCACGAGATCGTGACCTGAGCTGAAGTCGGACACTCAACCGCCTGAGCCCCCCAGGTCCCCCCTGCACCAGCCCTGAGTGAGCTCCGCCTGTGAGCCAGGAGCCGGGCCCTGCACCAGGCAGGGGGACACGTGGCCGCTCGCAGGAGCCCAGAGTTGAGAGGGACGGGGTCCGATGGCCTGCCCCCGACGCGCACACAGAGGCGAGCAAAGGGGCTTCTAATCTCGCCTGCGATATCAGGGAGGTGTCCTGGGATCCGTGCAGCACACTTTTCAGGGAGAAGGGAGCCCTGGGGGTGAAGGGCTGCCAGCCTGGAGAACAGCACGTGCCAAGGCCCAGAGTCCGCGGCAGGCAGTGAGAAACGGGCTCGCAGCCTGGAGGGGGCGGGCTGCAGGGCCATGTGGGGCGAGCTAGGTGGGGCGAGCCTGCTGAAGAGGCAGAGTCCGGCCGGAGCCCCGGAAGAGCTGCCTGCGACGGGGCGGCTGAATACAGCCTCCCCATGGCCTCGGAGGGCACGGGGGCCCAGGCACCTGTGCACGTGTGGGCGTGCGCTTGCGAACGCATGCGTCAATGTGGGGGTGAGCATGTGTGCACACATGTGTTGATACATGGGCATGCACGCATGTGCAGGATCATGTATGCACACGTGTTGATACATGGGCGTGCACGTGTGTGAAGGAACACGTGCACGCACGGACATAGGCACACGTATGCATGTAACTCACACCCATAATTTTATGCAGGTGTGAGGGTATGTGTGTACAAACACGTGCATGGGTACACGGGGCCCAGTATATGTGTGTGTGAACTCACGCATGTGCAGCGTGTGAATACACGTGCACACACACATATGCTCACGCATGGCTGCTTGTGGAAGCATGTACATGGGTGTGCAAATGTGTATGCAGTATACACGGATGAGCGTGCATATGTGTGGTTATGCTAGGTGTGCACAGAAATGTGTGCACACGACTGCGTGTGTGAAGGTGGACACATGGATATGTGTGTGCATACAGATGCGTGTGTACTTGTGCCTTGGAATACGTGCACACGATTGTGTGTGTGCATCCACACCTGTGTGCAGGGAAGGGGCCCGAAGAGACAAGCCGCCCTCTGCCAGGGCTGAGGCCACGTGTGGAACACGGGCCAGGCGTGCACCCATGGGTGTGCTTCTGGATCCCTTCTCCCAGCCACTGGGGCCCAGGACCCACCGGCGCACAGCTGTGCGGCCCTGGCTGGACCAGCCTTTCGCCTCTGGGCCCCGCTCATCCTGGCTGGGATGAGGGGACTATGCCGCTGGCCCTAGGGTGCTACACTTCTACGCGGTTTTCCTTCTACGACTCCCGCACCTGTCCCCGGCGCCCTAAGCTCCCGACCCCTCTCCCAGTGTGGCCCGGATCCTATGACACCCTCCCTGTCACCCCTCTGGGTCCCACCAAGCCCGGGCTCGGCCATGAGCAACTCGCAGGATGCTCTCTCCAGGCGCATGCGGTTTTGTTGCTGTGGGATAATGGAGGGCAGTTTGTCAAGCCCGGTTTTCAGCGCCGGGTAAGAGCCTCTCGGCTCCTCTCTGCACAGCTGCAGTCCCTGGGGCTCCGTGCACACGGGCAGGCCCGCGCCGCGCAGCCCTGAGGCCCAGCCGGCGGCCTCTCTCCCCGAGGACTCTTTCGAGGGCCCCGCTCCCCACTCCCCTCTGCTCTGGGCCCAGACCCGTGGGAGAGGCGCTGGCTCCCGGGTTATGCCCGGGAGATGTTGCCAGCGGTCCCGAGGTCAAAAGGCCAGCCAGGCGTCCCCAGCGGCCTGAGTCACTGGGCCGGCCAGGCACTCCGGATGTCCCCAGCCTGGCCTGATGAGTCGCTTCCTGGGCAGCGGGGAGCTCTGTTTGTTTTGGGCCCTCGGTGCTCTGTGTCCTTCTTCCTCTGGACTCTTTGTGCTAGGCTGCCCTTGAATGTGAACGCAGGAGGCGTCCAGGGCAGCCAGGACCCTGGACGTCCTGACACCCCCAGGCATCCCCCAAAGTGTTCCTCACAAGATGAGAGCCCCTCGGGGTCTGGAGGAGTCCCGCGTGGCTGGCCAGCTGCTGGGGGTGGGGACCACTCTCCAAAACCTGCATATGACCCCCTCGCCACTTCTCTTCCTTGGATCCACCTCTGCACCCCCCAATCCCACCCCCCTCCAGGACAAAGCCCATCTCCCTGTCCCACGGGGCTTCTCACTTCCCGGTAACTTTCCTTCAATCTCCAAATGCACCTCAGAAGTCACCTCCTCCAGGAAGCCTTCCCAGACAACTCTGCTCCCAGCCTAGGGGAAGAGCTCCAGGGCACTGGCAGCTTGCACCACAGCCACCTCAGTGTGTGGCCCCGCCCGACCTGTCCCAGATGGCGGAGGGCCCACTACAGACGGGAACCGTTGCCCACAGACGATGGGGGGTGGCACGGGCGTGGGTCTTCCCTGCAATCACACTCCAGGCCTCCAGGACCAGTGGGCCCTTTCACCGGGAGTGTGGCTTTCTACCTTCCCCGGGCCGCGTGCCCCTCGCATGCAGTCACGGCTTTGCTCCCCCAAAATGCATAAATGCCCAGGATCAGGAAGGGGGGGTCTGGCCCTGCCTGGGCAGTCCCACAATCCACGATCTCTGATTTCCGGTCTGGCCCTGGCCTGACCCCCTCCTCCTCCTCCTCCTCCTCCTCCTCCGCGTAAGGTGGCCATCAAGGATGCTGGGGCTCCCCGTGGGCTATCTCTGCTAAGGTGCCAGCGCTCTCCTACATCAGGCCCTGGGAGCCTTTTCAGGGCTCAGAGGAACGAGAAGCAGCCCCCAAAGCCACGCACATTTCCAGGCATCACTAAGGGAGATGCTCCAATCCCTCCCTGCGACACCTTCCTGGAACCCAAAAGCATCAGGCTCCAGCCCCCAGCCTCAGGAATCACCCCTGCCCTCCCACCTGAGGGTGCAGGGAGCTGGGGGAGGTGGTCCAGACTGCTGGGAAGAATGGCCCTCCCCTCCTGCAAGCGAGCCATGCCAGGCCTGGGAACTCCAGCCTCCTCCCCAGGGTCCGTCTCCCACAGACCTCAAGCTGCCTGGAGGTGGGTGCCAGCGCCAGAAGACGGGAACGACAGCGCGCGGTCGTGGAATGAAGGCACAGGGACATAAGGCAGGGGTAAGCCGGGGGGTGGGGAGAGACACCCCGACAGCTTGCCCTGAAGCCCGCAGGAATGAGGCACCCACGCAAAACCGCCCATCATCCGGGAAATTCATTCTGGGTGTTTGTCAGAGGCGGTGATTTCGAACATCACCCCCCACCCTTTAAAAGCAGGGCCACGGAGCATGAGAATTAAACTTCAGTAATTGCCAACATGGACGCAGAGGCTGGGAGCCCGCACAGGGCTTCCACAGGCACCGCCGTCATGATTCATGCTCCAGCAGCGCTTGGAAGTGGGCAGAGGAGGGAACTGAGGCCCGGGGGGCAGGGAGGTGGTTCTGCCCCGGAACACCGACCGGAGATGGGAGGCGACAGGCACTCGGCGAGACCCCTGCGCGCCCAGGATGCGTCGCGTCCTCCGCCAGGCTGCGAGTCGCCGGCTCTCCAATCAGGCCGCGGACCCCGAGCCGCCCGGAGCTGCGCGCGAGTGTGCGCGCCCGCGTGTGCGTGTGCGTGTGCCCGGGGGAGGCTAGGGAGCTCTTGTCTTAGAAAGAGCAGGTTTCTGGAACTCACCGCCCAGGCCAGCCGGCGCTCAACCCCGTCCGGCAGGCCGCAGCCGGCCCTGGAGGGGGCGCCCTCGCCGTGCGCGCGCGCCTCGCGCCACCGCCCGGGACTCCTCCCCGGCGCCGCGCCGGCAGGTTCGCCGAGGCGGCCTCGGGCTCCGGCTCCTGGGCCCGCTCCCCCCCGGGCCGGCGGCGCTGGCCTGCCCGCCGAGCCGCCCCCGCCAGCCCGCGCCCCGCCCCGCCCCGCGCGCCCGCCCCGCTGCGCAACTCTACCCAAGTTGGAAGCCGAGCCCGGGCGGCTGCACTCGCGCCGGGCGCACGGCGGCGGCGGTGGCGAAGGAAGAGGCGGCGGCGGCGGCGGCGGCGGCGGCGCAGCCGGGACAGGAGAGGCAGGCAAGGCGGAGCCCGCGCGGCCGAACGCGGACCGCGGGGGGCGCCCGCGCCCAGAGCGGCGGGAGGAGGACGCGCGGCGGCGGCGGCGGCGCCCTGCCCGGGAAAGTAAAGTTGGAGCCCGAGGCTGCGCGCCGGCGCTGGGGCCCGGAGGAGCGGCGGCCCGCGCCCCGGGGCGCCCAGCCCTAGCCGGCCGGATGGGAGGCGGAGCGCCCGGGCCGCCGCCTGCAGCCTGCGCCCCGGCCGGGCGCCGGGGCCGCGGGGCCGCTCGGGCACGCCCGCTGGGGCGCCGCAGCACCGTGGGCTCGCGGCCCGGGCGCTCCCCGTGAGCGGGGCCGAGGGCGGGGCCGGCGCGAGGACCCTGGGACCTGCCCCCCTCCCCCCCGCCGCCGCGTCGCCGCTCGCTCCGGGAGCCTCCTGCTCTGCACTTACGCGCGCGGCAGCTGCGGGGAGCCCGGCAGCCACGCTCTCCGGCGCGCCGCTCGCCCGCCGAGCCACCACGGCCGAGGGCCGGCTGCCGGGCGCCGCGGTCCCCGGCGGGCGCGCCCCAGGAGCTGGCGGCGATGCGGGCGCCGACCCGGGCTGGGGGGCGCCCGAGCTGCCTCGGCTGCGCCCCGGCTGCAGGCGGGACCGCGTAGCTCGCGGGAGGACCATGGCGTCCCCGGCGCTGGCGGCGGCGCTGGCGGCGGCGACGGCGGCGGGCCCCAACGCGAGCGGCGCGGGCGAGGGGGGCAGCGGCGGGGCCGCCAACGCCTCGGGCGCCGCCTGGGGGCCGCCCCCGGGCCAGTACTCGGCGGGCGCCGTGGCGGGGCTGGCGGCCGTGGTGGGCTTCCTCATCGTCTTCACCGTGGTGGGCAACGTGCTGGTGGTGATCGCCGTGCTGACCAGCCGGGCGCTGCGCGCGCCGCAGAACCTCTTCCTGGTGTCGCTGGCCTCGGCCGACATCCTGGTGGCCACGCTGGTCATGCCCTTCTCGCTGGCCAACGAGCTCATGGCCTACTGGTACTTCGGGCAGGTGTGGTGCGGCGTGTACCTGGCGCTCGACGTGCTCTTCTGCACCTCGTCCATCGTGCACCTGTGCGCCATCAGCCTGGACCGCTACTGGTCGGTGACGCAGGCCGTCGAGTACAACCTGAAGCGCACGCCGCGCCGCGTCAAGGCGACCATCGTGGCCGTGTGGCTCATCTCGGCCGTCATCTCCTTCCCTCCGCTCGTCTCGCTCTACCGCCGGCCCGACAGTGCCGCCTACCCGCAGTGCGGCCTCAACGACGAGACGTGGTACATCCTGTCGTCCTGCATCGGCTCCTTCTTCGCGCCCTGCCTCATCATGGGCCTGGTCTACGCGCGCATCTACCGCGTGGCCAAGCTGCGCACGCGCACGCTCAGCGAGAAGCGCGCGCCCGCCGGCCCCGACGGCGCGTCCCCGACCACGGAGAACGGGCTGGGGGCGGCGGCGGGCGCGGGCGAGAACGGGCACTGCGCGCCCCCGCGCCGCCCGCGCGCCGACGTGGATCCCGAGGAGAGCAGCGCGGCGGCCGAGCGGCGGCGGCGCCGGGGCGCCCTGCGGCGGGGCGGGCGGCGGCGCGCGGGCGGCGCGGGCGGCGCCGACACCCCCGGGCCCGGGCCGGGGGCGGCCGCCGCGGGCGCGCTGGCCGCCGCGAGGTCCCCGGGCCCCGGCGGGCGCCTGTCGCGCGCCAGCTCGCGCTCCGTCGAGTTCTTCCTGTCGCGCCGGCGCCGGGCGCGCAGCAGCGTGTGCCGCCGCAAGGTGGCCCAGGCGCGCGAGAAGCGCTTCACCTTCGTGCTGGCGGTGGTCATGGGCGTGTTCGTGCTCTGCTGGTTCCCCTTCTTCTTCAGCTACAGCCTGTACGGCATCTGCCGCGAGGCCTGCCAGGTGCCCGACCCGCTCTTCAAGTTCTTTTTCTGGATCGGCTACTGCAACAGCTCGCTCAACCCGGTCATCTACACCGTCTTTAACCAGGACTTCCGGCGTTCGTTCAAGCACATCCTCTTCCGACGGCGGAGAAGGGGCTTCAGGCAGTGAACGGCTCGCCGGCCCCGCGGGGAGGCCCTGGACCGCTCCGGGCGGGGGCGTGGGAAGGCGGGGCCCGCCGAGCCGCCCGGGCCGCTTCCCCGCTTCCCCGGAGACCCAGGACGGCGCGGCCTCCGGAGCGCAGGGGCGGGAGCTGGCGGGCCCGGAGCGCGGGCTGAGAGGAGAGACGCAGGGTCCCTGGGGAGGGGGGAGGAGAGAGGGGCAACCCCTCTGCCTTCCCGTCTCAGCAAAGGGCTGCTTCTGGGGCTGCGGGCCTGCGTCTGGCTCGGGGGGCCCCGCCGAGGTGTGGCCACGAAGTCAGGGTCTGCGCAGAGGTTAACGCAACCTCCCTAACAGGCGACAGGGGAGCCCCCCCCCCCAGCACACACACACCCCCAGCACACACACCCCCCCCCCCAGCACACACCACCTCTGAGCAAGGGCTGACTTCCCCAGGACCTCGTGGGGGCGGCTGTCTTGGGGGAAGAAAGAGAGCACCGACAGTCTCTGGTTACTGAAAGTATTTAAATGTTTGCCAAAAACGACAGCCAAAACAACCAAACTATTTTCTAAATAAACCTTTGTAATCTAAGCGTCGGGTGCAGCAGTCAGTCCTTAAGCCGCCAGCGTGAGGGTACCTTCGAGACCTCGTCCTGCCTAACGTCCCCCCAAGGGTGGAAGGAGGGCACCCCAGGTCTCCAGATTCCAACATCCCCTCTTGCAGGAGAAGGGGGGGTGTCTTTTTTTTTTTTTTAAGCAAAATCTGTTTAATGCACACACACTGTAAAATTCTTGTGCTGTAACTGGCTGAGAGGGAAAAGAAATCAAGACCCCCCCCCCACTGGGTCCAAATTTAGATCCTGGAGGAATGTCCTCCATCCCCCCCTCCTCCCCCCCCACCCCCCCCGCCTGCATCAGTTCCTGGCCTGGGAGGCTCTCCGCTCCAGTTCTGCCCGCCAGTAACTTTGGGCCAGTCCCTCGCCTCTGAACACTTTGTGGGGTTTCCACTTTGGAGGAGGAAGGATGGGTGAGCCCTGCCCAGAAGAGGGCCCCACCCACAAATGGGGTGGGGTTGAGGCCAAGACAAGCCTCCGGATCCTTCCTTGGTCCATACCAGGGCCTGGCACCAGGTTCTTCGTGGTTTTGAACATTGAGTGGGGGGGGGCACCACCTGCATCTGCAGGGGAGAGGCTGGAACCTCCCTATCCTCCCCACCCGGCACAGCCTTGTCCCCTTGCTCGGCCCTCCTCCCCTCCCCCTCCCCGAGTGTCATACTCCCCCCACACTGAGGCTTCAGGAGGGGCTAGAAGAAGCCAGCATGAGGTAGAGAGGCCCTCCCCCAGCCCCCAGCCCCCACCACGGAGCCGGGGGGCCCTGGCTGGCGGGGGCTCGCTCTGGAGACCCTGCTGTGACCGTCCCAGCCACCTGTTGCTCCCTCTCGGCCCCCCCCCCGGCCTTTCCGTATGTCCCCTCCCCTGCGGAGCCCTGTCTGCACAGCCCCGCTCTCTCTTGGATCACCACCCCTCTCTCCTTGACCCGGAGTGGCCGTGGGTCTGACTCCAGGATACAGACCTGTCAGCCCTGGGCCGTGCCTTCTGTTCCCACCCCCTGTCCCCTGAGTCAGGAGCCAGGGCTGGCCCCTTCCTTGGTCTGACTTGGCGGGGCTGTCCCTTGAAGAGCCCTCCTCTGCAGCGGCCCCACCCCGTCACCCAAGGTTATGGGTTCTCGGGACACCCACTTGGGAAGAACTCTCCGGACTTTGCGCACTCACTCATGTGGGAGCACTCACACCCGCTACATTTAGGCTCAGGGGCAGGTGGGGAGAGAGGGGTGGTGGAAATGGCCAGCCAAGGCTGACTGGGACATCCCTGACCTCCCACCACCCGACAGGGCATCCGTGTCACAGGCCCGGCTCTGTCGCAGGACTACGGAGCCGGCAGGGACAAAATTCTGCCCTCCCTGGGCTTCGGCACCCCTTCTGTGAAGTCCGGGGGGATGTCATTGGGAGCGCAGGCCCTGCCGGGCCGGCTGATCCATGGCCCAACTTGCTGGCCGACCTGCGGGCCCCGGGAGAGGCCACCTTGCCTTGGAGCCAGCACGGCTGATGCAGGTATTGCTCTGAGCCCGCAGGCCCCCGCGGAGCAATGGGGTGACGACGCCCCCACACGGGACTTCTGGGGGATGCACTGCGAGTCTGCAACAGGAGCGCGGAGCGAGGTGCACGGCCCACGGAACAATGTCAGCGCACTCTCTCATTGCAAGAATCGCACCTTCTAGGGCTGTCGCTGGGACTGCGGGCCTGGTGCTTAACGCCCCATTCAGCCACCAGATGTTCCCCACTTGATGGTAATTGCTGCCTGGAGAGAGCGTCTTTTCAGCTGGATAAACAGAGACGGAACCTGCCGCAGGGAAAAAGGCCGTCCGTCTGGCTCTGAGACTCGCTGTCTTCTTGGCCAGGCCGTGTGGCGAGGTCGCTGCCGCCTCCCTGAAGGCGCCTGTGGGCACCTTCCCGACTGGGTCCGGAAACCAGCTCCCGGGGGAGTTCTCTAGTGTACAGAGTGGGGGGCCCAGCGCGCTGTCCGCCTGCTCAGCCCCGCCCGCTGCGTCCCGCTCCCTCGCCCAGTGGCTGCCGGGCCCGGGCATCTCCACGTCTACTCCAGGGTGCCGGGCTCATTGTCAACCCCGTTCTGGGGCTGAGGAAACTGAGGCCCGGGACCCGCAGGTGTGAGGGGGCAGGGCACACCATGAACCCAGAAACGTCCCACTTGGGACCCCATGTCCTGAGCCCCCGGCTCCCGAGTCCCGGCACCGCTGGCTCCCGGCCAGCCCTCGCCACTTTCACACAGCCTCCTTTCTGTCCACGGCTCCCCGGGGGGCTCTCGGGACAAAACAAGAAAAAGCCTCCACAGAAAGATCGAGGAGGGCCGGGCGCCGCGTGGGGGGCCAGCCTGACGCGCCAGCCCCAGCCCGGCCCGGCCCGGCGCTGACGCGGCTCCTACGAGATGCACCGAGACATACATTTGTTCAAATTCCTTCCTGTATTGTAATTCAATTGCCGAGCTTGGAGAAGAGGGGAAGAAGGAATAATCCAAGTAATCCATTCCAGCTCAGTATGGAATTAAAAAAAAAAAATGACTTGAGCAGGCAGAATTAACACTTTAGAAGAGCTCTCCAATCTTTGAGCTCTGCCCCCGGCTCCGGGGGTGGGGGCTGGGGGCCGGGAGAAAGCACGTTGCCGTGGCACTGGCTGGCGAGGAAGCCGTCCTTCCCGGCTGTGCTGGCAGCCGGCTGTATTTTTATATCACATCCGTCGGCAGGCCTCAAATACTCCAGTGCGGCCTCGGATCAAGACGCACCCGCCCGCGGGCCCGTGTCGCATCTGCTTGGGCACCTGTGGCCCTTTGCGAGGCTGAACCCTGCACTCCCGCCACGCCGCACCCCCGCCCCGTGCAGACCCCCACGTGCGAGGGAGAGGCAGCAGGCGGCAAGGCTGAAGACACCCTGGGCTCTGTGTCCCCGTGAAGGACAACAGGGCCGTCTGGCCACTCGTCAGCCTGTGGCTCTGTCTGGGAGGGGACCAGGGGAGGGCCTTCCGCCCTGAGGACCCCGTGTCCTGTTCTTCGTCCACAAAACTTATCCAGGGGACCTCAGACTGCCTCCCCCATTCCTGAGTCGTCTTCCCGTTTGGCCAGCTGGACTTTCCAGAGCACCAGCGGAGGGGGGGGAGAAGCGGGAGGGGGTTGGGTTTGCCCGAGAAGGGACCCCAGCAGCCACCTTGGGTCCGTTCGCTGTGGGACCCCGACCCTGTGGCCCGCCATCCACAGAGGCAGCACGTCCTTCCCTGGCTGGGCTGAGGCAGGGGCGTGAAAGGGCCCGTGACCTGCAGGCAGACATTGGCGCCGCGGCCCCCGAAGTCGGCCCAGGAAGCAGGGTCGAGCACCAACTTGGGGCCAGAAAGGGCCCTGGGGACCGAAACGTGTTTCTTTCCCACCAAAGGGATTTGCGGCTGCTCCCAGTGAAAGCCTGGGGCACAATGGGATTATTATTGTCGAGATAAGGGTCCTGGCTCAGGGTGGCGTGGGAATGCTGGACCGGAAAGCTCTGTGCTCCCCCCGCTGAGAACAAGGTGCGGCCCGAGCTGCCCGGCAGCGGTGGAGAAAAAGGAAATAGGCTGAGCACTAGCAGGGAGGCCACTGTGCTGGGTGCCATCGCACAGGCCCCCTGACCCTGGGACATAGGGGCATTCATGCCGCGGTCCCCCTTTGGGGAGGGAGAGGGTTGACTCTCAGGTGCACCGGCCTGGGCTATTTCTTCCTTATTCCGCCGACACCCCAAGCCTGCCCCTCCCTGGGCCGGGCTCCAGTTGCCCCGTGGGGGGTGGACACGGGCCCTGCAGCACAACGGTCATGGGGGAGCGGCCGGCCCGCCAGCTGAGACGATGCACACGCAGCTGCGGGCATGCGGCCGGCACACGGGTGCCCGAATGGGGCTGTGGGGCTGCAGAGCTGGCCGGTGCGAGCTCCCCCGGGCCCTCCGGCCCCCACGGTCCCCAGACAAGCCCACGCTGCTGTCAGCTCCTCCCCTTCCCGCTTATCCCATTGCGTGGACTCAGTTTGCCTCCTCTGTGCCTTTGTTAACTCATGCCTTGTCCTCTGCCAGGAGCACCTTTCCCGCCCTGACCGGGGTGCCCCTCACAGGCCCCTCATGACTGAAAGCCCTTTGGAGCCACAAGCCCTCCGGGCCGGGCCAGGCACCGCGCCCTCCTCCCAGTGCGGGGAACCCAGTGTGGGGGGGGGGGCTAGGGAGGGTCTGAACACGGGGACGGTGCGTCACCCTGGCCAGGTGGCCGGCAGTGCAGCCGGCCCCCCACCCCTCCGCCAGTGCCATGGGGCTGTCCCTCCTCACCCACAAAGAGGCCCCAGCAGGCTCATCCCTGGACTCAAACCTGAGAGCCACCAGGGCGTGCCTGCTGGGCCTGAAGTGTCCCAGGCCATGGGGACAGCCCTGCAGGCGGCTCTCAGGGGCGCGGAGGGGGTTGACGTGGCGCGAGAGGCAGGTACTCCCTGCTCCAGGCCGGGCTCCGGGCTGCGGGGGATTTTCCACAGCACGTGCACCCCTGCTGCTGAGGCCACGTGTTCAAATGTTGGTGGGCGGGTCCCCCCCCACCGCCCTGCGCTTAATTAGCTCTGAGCTGACTGTGCAGCGTCTCGGAAAACAGAAGCATCTTGGTGCAGCCTTCGCTGAGCTCCAGGCGGAAGAGACCCAAATGGGAGCCCAGTTCAGAAACCCCCCTCCCCGCTTTACAGAGAAGCCCCGAGAGAGGAGTCAGTTCGCGTAATGACAGAAAAGAGCAGAAGTAACTGGGAGCCCAGAGCCGGCGTCGGCCCCAGGCCCTCTGCACGCCAG